TGCAGATCTTCTCCAAGTCATTAAGGTTTCGAGGCTGACATTTGGCAACTCGAACCTTCAGCTCCCTCCACAGATTTTCTATGGGATTAAGGTCTGGAGACTGGCTAGGCCACTCCAGGACCTTAATGTGCTTCTTCTTGAGCCACTCCTTTATTGCCTTGGCCGTGTGTTTTGGGTCATTGTCATGCTGGAATACCCATCCACAACCCATTTTCAATGCCCTGGCTGAGGGAAGGAGGTTCTCACCCAAGATTTGACGGTACATGGCCCCGTCCATCGTCCCTTTGATGCGGTGAAGTTGTCCTGTCCCCTTAGCAGAAAAACACCCCCAAAGCATAATGTTTCCACCTCCATGTTTGAAGGTGGGGATGGTGTTATTGGGGTCATAGGCAGCATTCCTCCTCCTCCAAACACGGCGAGTTGAGTTGATGCCAATGAGCTCGATTATATGTGCTGTATATGTGCTTTCTTGAGCAGGGGGACCTTGCGAGCGCTGCAGGATTTCAGTCCTTCACAGCGTAATGTGTTACCAATTGTTTTCTTGGTGACTATGGTCCCAGCTGCCTTGAGATCATTGACAAGATCCTCCTGGGCTGATTCCTCACCGTTCTCATGATCATTGCAACTCCACGAGGTGAGATCTTGCATGGAGCCCCAGGCCGAGGGAGATTGACAGTTCTTTTGTGTTTCTTCCATTTGCGAATAATTGCACCAACTGTTGTCACCTTCTCACTAAGCTGCTTGGCGATGGTCTTGTAGCCCATTCCAGCCTTGTGTAGGTCTACAATCTTGTCCCTGACATCCTTGGAGAGCTCTTTGGTCTTGGCCATGGTGGAGAGTTTGGAATCTGATTGATTGATTGCTTCTGTGGACAGGTGTCTTTTATACAGGTAACAAGCTGAGATTAGGAGCACTCCCTTTAAGAGTGTGCTTCTAATCTCAGCTCGTTACCTGTATAAAAGACACCTGGGAGCCAGAAATCTTTCTGATTGAGAGGGGGTCAAATACTTATTTCTCTCATTAAAATGCAAATCAATTTATAACATTTTTGACATGCGTTTTTCTGGATTTTTTTGTTGTTATTCTGTCTCTCACTGTTCAAATAAACCTATCATTAAAATGATAGACTGATAATTTCTTTGTCAGTGGGAAAATGTACAAAATCAGCAGGGGATCAAAATACTTTTTTCCCTCACTGTAAATCCAATGACAGGTTGATTTCACGTTGAATTCACGTTGAACTGACGTCTGTGCCCAGTGCGATGTCATCAAGGCTTAAATAATATGTCAGCCTTGATGACATATAAATACAATGGTTAAGTATTGTATTATTGTAATAAATATTGTAATAGTATTACAGTAGTTATGTAACTTATTTGTTATTTTATAGTGTATGAATAGAACTATGAATCCACATATGGTTATTTGTTTGAAACTGTCTGGGTGCGTTTCATATAATACCTGAGTTTCACTTCTTTTTCACTAGCTACCTCTACTATTCTTATTCTTATATGTCTTGGATAGCACTACACACCACAACTGTCCTCAATTCATCGAGTAGAATCGGAGGTCTTTATAATTACAACGCTTACCCAGTGAGAGTTGCTGGCTAGTAAATAACATGCATGGTTGACTCCAACAAATGCCACAGTCCTCAATACGCTCTTGTAGGCCCAATGAATTACCCTTAACACTCAAGAGTTTGAAAACTTGGCCTGAATGGCTGTCTCTCCTTTGTGTGCTGAGATGTTCTCTACTTAACAGAAATTGCATTTCAACAACGGGTATTGTCTCCAACCTCAGCCTATCCAGCTCTCTCAGGCTGAGGCTTGTTCGTGTCAAGAGTGCAAGGCAGAAGAGCTTTAGTGATTCACACTGCCTCCAGTACCTCTATTCCCCACAGACTCTCATCTGGTTCTACAGTAAGCACCACAGGAGACATATTTTCTTATTTACAACAAGAGACTGAGCAGCCAAGCAGTGGCGAGAAGGACAAGTCATGTGCTCAGGGGGACCTACAAGACAAGTTCTCTGCATTGCTCATGTGGTTATTTCAGTTTTTCTCTGGTAGGTTCTGCTAGACAAGGGAACCAAGATGGTCCATTTCTAAATTGAACATTTAACATGGTCCATATTACTCTGCAAAAAGGAGAATGGAATTTCCCAAGAAGATTGGCAGTTGTACAGTATCTGCACTGGGAAAATCCTAACCCCTGTACTAACTGTGTCTGGCTTGCTAGTACAGCCTACTCAAACAGTCAGCGCTCAACACTGCCCTGTGAGGCAGATAATGTCACAGCAAAGGGAGGACAAATTGGACAGAGTTGCTGTAGTCAGGTGCAGGGCATGGTCTTTGAATACTAAACACTAATAGTGTTCATTAGCATATTTTTCTCAATAATAAGCTGATAGCTGGGCTCCCGAGTGGCGCAGTGGTCTAAGGCACTGCATGCATCTCAGTGCTAGAGGCGTCACTACAGACCCCCTGGTTCGATTCCAGGCTGTATCACAACCGGCCGTGATTGGGAGGCCCATAGGGCGGCGCACAATTGGCCCAGCGTCGTCCGGATTTGGCTGGTGTAGGCCGTCATTGTAAATAAGAATTTGTTCTTAACTGACTTGCCTAGTTAAATAAAGGTAAAATAAATAAAAAATGTAATAGTGACCCAGTTCTACATGAACAAATTAGCCACAGCAACCGTGCAAGACGACAGGCTTTCTGCCTGGTCTGGAGAAGGTGGGGTGTCAGAAGAAAGATGACAATTGGGTTTTTGGGCGGTTGGCTTTTTAAGTAGTAAATATGATTTTTCTAAACTTAATTTTTGGGACATTTTGGGTCAAGTGCCAGAACAAATAAAGTACATGTGAGGTGGTGAGAGGGAGGAGGTGGGAGACAGAGGTAGTTAGGATGACAGAGGGGGAAATAATGTCAATGCCCCGGCCCAGGAGGAGTGAGTGGGGGACTGGTGCCTGTCTAGGTGACTGTGTCTCTGTGTCCACCCCACTGGAGCCGAGCTCTGTTTGACCAGAAGATTCACAAAGATAGTGCTGGCAGATGGTGACACTGGCAAAAACCTCCTCCCTCACCCCCACTTTCACTACTACTCAACAAATTAAGCTAGCTGGGTGGATTCCAATGAGGAGTCATTCGTGGTTATATTTGTTGACACTGATGTTCCGGTCACCCAAAGTCAACAAGCGATGGCAAAGAGTTATCTATATACGAGACAGACTGACGCAGGGGTCCCCACAACATGTTATTTCACTTAAAGGGATACTTTGGGATTTTGGCAATAAGGCCCTTTATCTACTTCCCCAGAGTCAGATTAACTCGTGGATACCATTTTTATGTCTCTGCGTGCAGTTTGAAGTAGATAAAGGGCCTCTGTAAAACTCCTGAAGTATCCCTTTAAAGAGACAAGTTGGGCACAGCCAATAAAATACTTAGTGAATGGATTAAAACCTAATAGTATAATGATATAATATCAAAGAAGTTGAGCCCTTGAGTGAAAGTACCATTAATTATTATTAGGCTATTAACTACTTATCAACTCATTGAGGATGCAAATTATGCATTCAGAGGCTTACAATTTACTGTATAATTTTCTGTGCATGAAATGTGATATACACAGAGTGTACAAAACATTAGGAACACCTGCTTTTCCATGACATAGACTGACCAAGTGAATCCAGGTGAAGCTATGATCCCTTATTGATGTCACTTGTTAAATCCACTTTAATCAGTGTAAATTAAGGGGAGGAGACAGGTTAAAGAAGGATTTTTAAGTCTTAAAACAATTGAGACATGGATTGTGTATGTGTGCCATTTGGAGGATGAATGGGCAAGACAAAATATTTAAGTGCCTTTGAACGGGGTATGGTAGTAGGTGCCAGGCACACCGGTTTGTCTCAAGGAACTGCAACGCTGCTGGGTTTTTCATGCTCAACAGTTTCCCGTGTGTATCAAGAATGGTTCAACACCCAAAGGACATCCAGCCAACTTGACACAACTGTGGGAAGTATTGGAGTCAACATGGGCCAGGATCCTTGTGGAACGCTTTCGACACCTTATATAGTCCATGCCCTGACAAATTAGGAAGGTGTTCTTAATGTTTTGTACACTCAGTGTAGCAGCATAGCAGGATATTAAATGTGTCATTGTAATAGCCTACAAATTAAAATAAAATAGAAAAATGTCTTTTTTTTAAACTACAAAATTACCTTTACCTAACAATTCAAGTGTGAATTGCGTTTTATATTGCCTACCTGACCTTTTGAAATATTGTTTTTTTTCATTAGGTCTGATAAACACTACATAATGCATGTCACATAATATTGTCACCTGAATTAAGAGCTCTATTTGCACCTCTCTTTTTTTTTTTTCACTGTTCTACTTTTCCTCTTCTTTCAAATTCATTTCATTCTGTTAGACTGCAGGTTCCTCACATTACACCACATTATACGTCAAATGAAAGCGTTGCAAAAGAAGGGCTAATTATTCCTTTGGAGGGGTTATAATTACATCCTTTAGACAGAGGAATGGATACTGTAATGGCTCACTCCCTCATGTGGAGGAATTTCCCAGGTCAGACAAAAGGCTGTGCAGCCAGCCATACACTTCCAGTATCTGTCCATGACTCCTGCTGTTAGGTAATTTCCACAAATCTTTCAATAAAATGTCACCATGCACAAAACGGGAAAGTGGATTAGGTAATATGCGACGGGAATGAGCTCTGTGGGGGGGGGGGGGGGGGGGGGGGGATTGCACAATAGTGGCCAAAGTGTGTATAAATACCAGTGCACCGCAGTCTCAACACATGACAGTGAAGTCCCTCAACCGCTGACACCAAAACGACACTCAGCCAACTTTGGACTCATCTAGCGCATTGAAAATTGTGCATTGGAGAGAGTTCTGATTTTCTTCATAAACTGTCACTTCAATTCCAACTGATTTCAACAGGGCTTTTAAATTAGCTATAAGCTTCCTAACAAAACCGAGAATGAAGGCCTTCAGTGTTGCAGTTGCAGTGGTGGTAGTCCTCGCATGTATGTGCATCCTTGAAAGCACAGCTGTTCCTTTCTCTGAGGTATGTCTAATTCTCCAACACCAACCCACTACAAACGTGTGCATTGATTTTAGAGGTTGATCATGACTAATTTGTACATAATGTCTTTGCAGGTGCGAACGGAGGAGGTTGGAAGCATTGACAGTCCAGTTGGGGAACATCAACAGCCGGGCAGCGAGTCCATGCGTCCACCGGTACGTTCAATCGAGTGAATGAATTAAGCTAATTATCTTTAGCAAATTAACATCTAAGTGGTTGCGTTTCACCCTCGGAATAGAATTAGCCCACTAGCGGTACCTGTTAACCATTTGATTGTGAGCCGTTAGAAAGTGCTTCAGGGTGAGCAGTGTGCAATGTGGTTATGAAATGGAGACTTGGACAAAAATACTTACCATGTGCTTGTTCCCTCTTTTTTTCATATTCATTTTTTGGCGGGGAACAGGAGCTTTTCAGGTTCAAGCGTCAGAGCCACCTCTCCCTGTGCCGTTGGTGCTGCAACTGCTGTCACAACAAGGGCTGTGGCTTCTGTTGCAAATTCTGAGGACCTAAAGCCAGCTTATTAACTTATTGCCTTTAATTTCCCCCCTATTCTTCTACATTTCTTTTGGACTCTGTGGAGAAGAAGCAATCTCATTGACGTCTTTCTCACTGCAGAACCTCAATCTTGTACATAAGTGTTTTGTATCATTTTGTAGACATAAATGTATAGCCTACTGACACAAGAAAAATACATAGCTAATTGAAATAAGTGGGGATTTTTCCATTGTTGTACATTTTGTACATTTGTTTTGTCAATTTTCTATTTGTACATGTTTGCGATGTTTTCATTCTAAAAAAGTATTTGTTAAATCATTTTTTATAGTATTTTTTAATATAAATAAACACATTCTTTGAATAACAAACAGGGTTGTTTCTGAATTATGAATTTGTTATAGATGTGTACCCTATGGCTAAATTTTCAGGCCTGACAGCCAGAGGCTTATTCAAATTAGCCACGTGGCTAGTAGTTTACCCTGAGGTCTGGGAATGGAACCTACAGTGCCTTCAGAAAGTATTCATAACCCTTGACTTTTTCCACATATTGTTGTGTTACAGCTTGAATTGAAAATGGATTAAGTTGAGATTTTGTGTCACTGGCCTACACACAATACCCCATAATGTCAAAGTGGAATTGTGTTTTTAGAAATGTTTACATATTAATAAAAAAACGAAAAGCTGAAATGTCTTGAGGTAATAAGTATTCAACCCCTTTATTATGGCAAGACTAAATAAATTCAGTAGTAAAAATGTGCTTAACAAGTCACACAATAAGTTGCATGGACTCACTCTGTGTGCAATAGTAGCGTTTAAAGCCCCCTAGAGCCGATGTCCGAGCCCCAACGGAAATCCGAGTCCCCACGGAAATCATATTAGCATAATGAGAAAAAATCCCCATAGAAATCTGTCCGTTTTTTTGATGCATTTCAATCCACAAAATCTGCCGATGTCGCACTTCCGCATCTGTGTTGAAAGGTGACAGAGCTACAGCGGTGTTTGTCAGACCATGAGACATCCTTAAATTTGGTCTTCTTACAAAATCGTCTGTAGTGAAAGGTTTAACCTACAAACTATTATGACCCATCCAAGGAAAAATGAGACTCTCACGAATACAATGGTGTTCTCCATTTTGCTCTACAACCCCCACAAGCGTCTTGGGACTCGTCTGAAGTCCGTACAGCCAATCTACCAACTTCTGTCTGTAGCGTCTGAACCGTTAGGGCTAATATGACCCCTCTATGGAAAGGTGAGACTCTCACGAACACATACACTACCGGTCAAATGTTTTAGAACACCTACTCATTCAAGGGCTTTTCTTTATTTTTACTATTTTCTACATTGCTGAATAATAGTAAAGACATCAAAATTATGGAATCATGTATTAATCAAAAAAGTGTTAAACAAATCAAAAAATATTTCATATTTGAGATTCTTCAAATAGCCACCCTTTGCCTTGATGACAGCTTTGCACACTCTTGGCATTCTCTCAACCAGCTTCATTAGGTAGTCACCTGGAATGCATTTCAATTAACAGGTGTTCCTTCTTAAAAGTTAATTTGTGGAATTTCTTTCCTTCTTAATGTGTTTGAGCCAATCAGTTGTGTTGTGACAAGGTAGGGGGGGTATACAGAAGATAGCCAATTTTTGGTAAAAGACCAAGTCCATATTATGGCAAGAACAGCTCAAATAAGTAAAGAGAAATGACAGTCCATCATTACTTTAAGACATGAAGGTCAGCCAATCCGGAAAATTTCAAGCACTTTGAATGTTTCTACAAGTGCAGTCACAAAAACCATCAAATCAAGCGCTATGATGAAACTGGCTCTCATGAGGACCGCCAAAGGAATGGAAGACCCAGAGTTACCTCTGCTGCAGAGGATAAGTTCATTAGAGTTACCAGCCTCAGAAATTGCAAGCCAAATAAATGCTTCACAGAGTTCAAGTAACAGACACATCTCAACATCAACTGTTCAGAGGGGACAGAAGAAACCACTACTAAAGGACACCAATAAGAAAAACAGACCTGCTTGGGCCAAGAAACACGAGCAATGGACATTAGACGGTGGAAATTTGTCCTTTGGTCTGGAGTCCAAATTTGAAATGTTTGGTTCCAGCCGCCGTGTGTTTGTGAGACGCATTGTGGGTGAACGGATGATCTCTGCATGTGTATTTCCCACTGTTAAGCATGGAGGAGGAGGTGTTATGGTGTGGGGGTGCTTTGCTGGTGACCCTGTCTGTGATTTTATTCAGAATTCAAGGCACAGTTCACCAGCATGGCTACCACAGCATTCTGCAGTGATACGCCATCCCATCTGTTTTGGGCTTAATGGGACTATCATTTGTTTTTCAACAGGACAATGACCCAACACACCTCCAGGCTGTGTAAGGGCTATTTGACCAAGAAGGAGAATGATGGAGTGCTGCATCAGATGACCTGATCTCCACAGTCCCCTGACCTCAATCCAATTGAGATGGTTTGGGATGAGTCGGACCGCAGAGTGAAGGAAAAGCAGCCAACAAGTGCTCAGCATATGTGGAAACTCCTTCAAGACTGTTAGAAAAGCATTCCAGGTGAAGCTGGTTGAGAGAATGCCAAGAGTGTTTATAGCTGTCATCAAGGCAAAGTGTAGCTATTTGAAGAATCTCAAATGTAACATATATTTTGAATTGTTTAACACTTTTTTGTTTACTACATGATTCCATATGTGTTATTTCATAGTTTTGATGACCACTATTATTCTACAATGTAAAAAATATAAAAAATAAAGAAAAAAAACTTAAATCAGTACGTGTGTCCAAACATTTGACTGGTAGTGTCTATATATGTTTCCTGATCTTTCTTTTATTTCTCAGATATAGGACAGACACTTCAGAACAAACTTCTTTTAGATTTATTTTGGGGACTATCTGTTGTTCCATGTAGTGAATCTGTTTTTCAATGCGTTTCTATGGGCTAATAACAATAAGGCCCAAAACGTATTTTTGGGAAACTTCAAGGGGTCTTAAAATTCAAAATCAAATAGCTAAATGATCCTTGGTATGACCTTCTTAAAACATTTCCATATTGCTCAGAAAGGGCTTAGACTGTTATGGGTTAATTAACATGATTTTTCAATGACTACCTAATTTCTGTACCCCACACATACAGTTATCTGTAAGGTCCCTCAGTCGAGCAGTGAATTTCAAACACATATTCAACCATACAGACCAGGGAGGTTTTCCAATGCCTCACAAAGAATGGTACCTATTGGTTGATGGGTAAAAAAAAAATAATACAGACATTGAATATCCGTTTGAGCATGTTGAAGTTATTAATTAGACTTTGGATGGTGTATCATTACACCCAGTCACTACAAAAATACAGGCGTCCTTCCTAGCTCAGTTGCCAGAGAGGAAGGAAACCGCTCAGCGATTTCACCATGAGGCCAATGGTGACTTCAAAACAGTTATAGAGTTTAATGGCTGTGATAGTAGAAAACTGAGGATGGATCAACAACATTGTAGTTGCTCCACAATACTAACATAATTGACGGAGTGAAAAGTAGGAAGGCCTGTACAGAATGACAATATTCCAAAACATGCATCCTGTTTGCAACAAGGCATGAAAGTAATACTGCAAAAAATGTGGCAAAGCAATTCAAATCCAAATCCAATACAACACATTACTCAGTACCACTTTCCATATTTTCAAGCATAGTGGTGGCTGCATCATGTTATGGGTATGCTTGTAATCGTTAAGGACTGGGGGAGTTTTTCAGGATACAAAATAAACCGAATGGAGCTAAGCACAGTTCAAATCCTAAAGGAAAACCTGGTTCAGTCTGCTTTCCACCAGACACTGGGAAATTAATTCACATTTCAGCAGGACAATAACCTAAAACATATGGTCAAATCTACACAGGAGTTGCTTACCAAGAAGACTGTGAATGTTCCTGAGTGGCCGAGTTACAGTTTAACTTATGTTGAAATCTACTTGGAAAATCTAAGGCAAGACCTGAAAATGGTTGTCTAGCATTGATCAACAACCAATTTGACGGAGCTTGAAGAATTTTGAAAATATGAATGGGCAAATGTTGCACAATCCAGGTGTGGAAAGCTCTTAGAGACTTACCCAGAAAGACTTAAAGCTGTAATGGCTGCCAAAGGTGCTTCTACAAAGTATTGACTCAGGGGTGTGAATACTTATGCTAACTATATATGTCTGTATTTAGTTTTCACTAAATTTGCAAATATTTCTAAAAACATGTTTTCACTTTGTCATTATGGGGTATTGTGTGTAAAAAAAAATCTATTTTAATCCATTTTGAAATCAGGCAGTGACAACAAAATTTTGAATAAGTCAAGGTGTATGAAAAACTTTCTGAAGAGACTGTATGTCAAAATAGGGATATTTAACCACTGTGAATGGCACATATTCCATGACATAGACTGACCAGGTGAGTCCAGGTGAAAGGTATTATCCCTTATTGATGTCACTTGTTAAATCCATTTAAATCAGTGTAGATGAAGGGGAGGAGACAGGTGAAACTATTTTTTTTAAAGCCTTGAGACAATTGAGGCATGGATTGTGAATGTGTGACATTCAGAGGGTGAATGGGAAGGACAAAAGATTGAAGTGCCTTTGAACGGGGTATGGTAGTAGGTGCCAGGCGCACTGGTTTGTGTCAAGAACTGCACCGCTGCTGGGTTTTTCATGCTCAACAGTTTCCCATGTGTATTAAAAATGGTCCACCACCCAAAGGACATCCAGCCAACTTGACACTGTGGGAAGCATTGGAGTCAACATGGGCCAGCATCCCTGTGAAAAGCTTTCGACACTTTGTAGAGTCCATGCCCCGACGAATTTGCAACTAGAAATTAGGACGTTTTTTTGTATACTCAGTGATCCAGTTCTACATGAACAAATTAGCCACACCAACTGGGCAAGACAACAGGCTTTCTGGCTGGTCTAGAGAAGGTGGGGGTCGGTTTTTCGCTGGTTGGCTATTTCATTAGTAAATATTTTTCTTAACTTAATTTTTGGGACATTTTGGGTCAAGTGCCCAGAACAAATAAAGTACATGTGAGGTGGTGAGAGGGAGGAGGTGGGAGACAGAGGTAGTTAGGATGACAGAGGGGGGGAAACAATGTCAATGCCCCGGCCCAGGAGGAGCGAGTGGGGGACTGGCGCCTGTCTAGGTGACTGTGTCTCTGTGTCCACCCCACTGGAGCCGAGCTCTGTTTGACCAGAAGATTCACAAAGATAGTGCTGGCAACTGGTGACACAGCAGAAAGTTCCTCCCTCACCCCCACTTTCATTACTACTCAACAAATTAAGCTAGCTGGGTGGATTCCAATGAGGAGTCATTCATGGTTATATTTGTTGACACTGATGTTCCCGATCACCCAAAGTCAACAAGCAATGACAAAGGGTTCTCTATATACAAGTCAGACTGACGCAGGGGTCCCCACAACATGTTATTTCACTTAAAGAGACAAGTTGGGCACAGCCAATAAAATACTTAGTGAATGGATTTAAATATAACTGTATAATTTCAAACAAGTTGAGCCATTGAGAGCACGTACAATTCATTATTATTAGGCTATTAACCACTTATCACAGACTATTTTGAGGATGGAAATTATGCATTCAGAGGCTTACAATTTTCACAGTATCATTTTGTGTTTCTGAAATGTGATATAGCAGCATAGCATGTGTCATTGTAAATGTTTAAAGATACACTCTTATCCAGAGCAACTTACAGTAAGTGCATTCATCTCATACTTTTTTTTCTCTGTACTGGTCCCCCTTGGGAATCAAACCCACAACCCTGGCGTTGCAAGCAACATGCTCTACCAAGTGAGCCACACAGGACATTTCAGTAGACTACACATTCAAATAAATGTAGGTTTTTTCTCAACTACAAAAATACCTTTGCCTAACAATTCAAGCGTGAATCACTATTATAAAAACCACCTAAACCTTTTAAATATTTTCTTTTTCATTAGGTCTGATAATGCCTGCCACATAAAACTATCATATTATTTTATTCCTAATAGCACTTGAAACACCTGAATGAAAGGTGCTACACATAGGATTTTTTGGTAGAATTTTTGCATTGTACTGTAATGTCAGAAAATGTCCATGATATGTCTGCAGTAATAGTGGAATGATAGTGTTTCACAGTATGACTTACAGTGTGTGATTAGCTGTGAGATTCGTCTATTGATTTCTCCCGCCGGAGCGGCTGTGTTATCTAGTGGAAATCGGGTCAAGTGGCAGGATTGCACAACAGTGGCCAAAGTGTGTATAAATACTGGTGTACCGCAGTCTTAACACAAGACAGAGAAGTTCCCTCAACCGCTAACACCAAAATGGACCATCAACTAACTTAGGACTCATCTAGTGCATTGAAAGTTGTGCGTTGGAGAGTGTCTCTTTATGGGAATATTGAAGAGTTCTGATCTTCATAGGCTGTCGCTTCAATTCCAACTGATTTCAACAGGACTGATTTCAATAGGCTATAAGCCTTCTAACATAACGGAGAATGAAGTCCTTCAGTGTTGCAGTTGCAGTGGCGGTCGTCCTCGCATGTATGTGCATCCTTGAAAGCACAGCTGTTCCTTTCTCCGAGGTATGTCTAATTTTATAACACCAACCCACTTCAAACATGTCTGCATAGGTTGATCATGACTAATTTGTGCATAATGTCTTTGCAGGTGCGAACAGACGAGGTTGGAAGCATTGACAGTCCAGTTGGGGAACATCAACAGCCGGGCGGCGAGTCCATGCATCCACCGGTATGTTCAATTGTGTGAATTAATTAAGCTAATTACCTTTAGCAAATTAAAATCTAAGTGGTTGCATTTGCCCTGCAGAATTGAATTAACCCACTAGTGCTACCTGTTATCGTTTGATTGTGAGCCGTTAGAGAGGGCTTCAGGACGAACAGTGCGCAACGTGGTTATGAAATGGAGACTTGGACAAAAAGACTTACCATGTGCTTGTTCCCTCCTTTTTTAATGTTCTTTTTTTGGTGGGGATACAGGAGCTTTTCAGGTTCAAGCGTCAGAGCCACCTCTCCCTGTGCCGTTGGTGCTGCAACTGCTGTCACAACAAGGGCTGTGGCTTCTGTTGCAAATTCTGAGGACCTAAAGCCAGCTTATTAACTTATTGCCTTTAATTTCCCCCCTATTTTTCTACATTTCTTTTGGACTCTGTGGAGAAGAAGCAATCTCATTGACATCTTTCTCACTGCAGAACCTCAATCTTGTACATAAGTGTTTTGTATCATTTTGTAGACATAAATGTATAGCCTACTGACACAAGAAAAATACATAGCTAATTGAAATAAGTGGGGATTTTTCTGTTGTTGTACATTTTGTACATTTGTTTTGTAAATTTTCTATTTGTACATGTTTGCGATGTTTTCATTGTAAGATTACATTATTTGTTAAATCATTTCTTATAGTGATTTTTTTATATAAATAAACACATTCTTTGAATAAAAACGTGGTTGTTTCTGAATTATTAATGTGTTATAGATGTGTACCCTGTGGCTAAATGTTCAGGCCTGCCAGCCAGAGGCTTATTCAAATTAGCCACGTGGCTAGTAGTTTAACCTGAGGTCTGGGAATGGAATCTACAGTGCCCTCAGACTGTATTCATACCCCTTGACTTTTTCCACATGTTGTTGTGTTACAGCCTGAATTTGTGTCACTGCCCTACACACAATACCCCATAATGTCAAAATTGAATTATGTTTTTACAAATGTATTAATAATGAAAAGCTGAAATGTTTTGAGTCAATAAGTATTCAACCCCTTTTTTATGGCAAGCCTAAATAAGTTCAGTAGTAAAAATGTGCTTAACAAGTCACATAAGTTGCAATAATAGTGTTTAACATTATTTTTGAATGACTACCTCATCTCTGCACCCCACACATATAATTATCTGTAAGGTCCCTCAGTTGAGCAGTGAATTTCAACCACAGATTCAACCACAAAGACCAGGGAGGTTTTCCAATGCCTCGCAAAGAAGGGCACCTATTGGTATATTGAATATCCTTTTGAGCATGGTGAAGTTATTAATTAGACTTTGGATGGCGCATCAATACACCCAGTCACTACAAAGATACATGTATCCTTCCTAACTCAGTTGCCAGAGAGGAAGAAAATCGCTCAGGGATTTCACCATGAGGCCAATGGTGACTTTAAAACAGTTACTGAGTTTAATGGTTGTGATAGGAGAAAACTGAGGATGGATCAACAACATTGTAGTTACTCTACAATACTAACCTAATTGACAGAGTTAAAGGAAGGAAGCCTTTACAGAATAAAACATATTCCAAAACATGCATCCTGTTTGCAACAAGGCACTAAACTAATACTGCAAAAATTACTGAGTACCACTCTCCATATTTTCAAGCATAGTGGTGACTGTTTCATGTTATGGGTATGCTTGTAATTGTTAACCTTTTCACGAGTGAATTCCAAACATCTCTAACGGTCGGCCCCACCGTGTGTTTTTTTATGCGCGTCATGTCAGAATGCACTCAATGTTCCAAAATGTGATTGTTACGCAACAGAACAGTTAACCCGTGCTGTCCTCAAACCAAGGCATGCTGCATGCTAATTATCTATAGGCTATGTTTCAACTTGTCAATTTCAAATTATTTTCGAACAAGTTTGAATTGAGGTGTGTTCCGCCTCCTCATTAATTCACATGGAAGTAACCCATTTCACTGTTGCAGACAATTTATGTTTGAGGCTTTACTGAGCCGGACAAACTTCCATCTTCGACGAGAGCCCAAGCACTTCCCCAGTGTTTCCCCTGATCAAGTATGAATACATTGCACATCTCTAGTCAGAACAGGCCTTGCACAAACCTTTTACCCCTGGCACATTTTCCGGCTGGCACCCACCCACATTGCCAAAATTGTTGTTTTCCTTACAAATAATAACTTTGGACGTGTACATTCCTATCAAAGTAAGTGCCTTATTTTCTGTATATCGTGTTGCCATTTCTACTGTAGCATACCATATGTATGTACGGAGCATAATGTATTTAGTGTTTTTGTCACGTTTTGAAGTACTGGTGACAGTACTTCAAAAAATAAATGGAATAGAGCACAGGCAAAATCCTAGAGGAAAACCTGGTTCAGTCTGCTTTCCACCAAACACTGGGAGATTAATTCATCTTTCAATAGGACAATAACCTAAAACACAAGGCCAAATACACTGGAGTTGCTTACCAAGACGACATTGAATGTTCCTGAGTGGCCTAGTTACAGTTTTGACTTAACTCGGCTTGAAAATGGCTGTCTAGCAATGATTAACAACCAACTTGACAGAGCTTGTAGAATTTTTAAAAGAATAATGTGCAAACATTGTACACTCCAGGTGTGCAAAGCTCTTAGAGACTTACCCAGAAAGACTCACAGCTGTAATTGCTGCCAAAAGTGATTCTAACATGTATTGATTCAGGAATATGGATATTTATGTAAATTAGATATTTCTGTATTTCATTTTCAATAAATATGCAAACATTTCTAAAAACATGTGTAATACCTTGCTAAAACCAAGTATAGAGTTTATTTGTTATAATTCATTGGTATTAGATTTAAAAGGTGATCGAATAGCTCCTGATTTGTAATGTCATTAATGCATTTCTTTTGAAGCAATGTTAAAAAAAAATGTACAAGTGAATAGGTTGGTTTACTTTTAAGTTTAAGTTTCCCACGTATCTCGTTAAAGTTTTGACCAATGAGGTGACTTGTTAAGTTGTGGCCAAAGGGAGAGTGGACTGGTTGCTGGGAAAGAAAAGAGAGGGAAAGGTTGAAAGAAGGGAGAGGAGAGACGTTAGTGGGGTTGGTGAAGGAAAAACGACCAAAGGAAACGATAAAGAGAGAACAAAACCATACCTACAGAGTTTTTTTAAGGGAAATCCTCATTTTATTTCTATAAGAGAGTGTTTATTATTTCGTTAAGAAAGACCTAGTGGAGACTGAAGCTGCCGTCGCATTGTGGAGACATTCGACATCCTAGAGGTTAGCCTAGCATCGTGCAAGACTTGGAGAGAATTGCTTGTGACGATCAATGAGTTCGGGTTTCCAACGGATGTCTGTTTCTGCTACGGAGTACTGGCTGCATTGATAGCTGTGTTCACCTGTGGATCTTGTGAGGACACCTGCACGGAACTACTATATTTTGCTGAGGCATTATCTACAAGTAGTGAGTAACTACAAATGTGGGGTGGACTTCGGGACTTTATGTATGTCGTCATTTTTTTATGAGCTCCAACGTGCGCCCAGGGTTTAAGCAAGCTTGCAAATAATTTGGACATGGGTTGTGGAAAAATCATTGGGGTTTATTATTTTTTATTTCTTTTGATGTGAAACATTGAAAATTTGATTAATATAGATCTTGAACCTTATGTCTGTTGTATTGGTGGAGTCATTTACTGTTTCATTTAATGCATGGGAAAGCATATCCTTATAATAATAACCAAGTCTATAATCATTCTATCTGAAGTTAATACCCTATTTGTCATTCACCCTAGCAAGTTTACAATAGGGATTCTTATTGGAGATGTCCTTCTCACCTACTATCCCATGCTGTTCAGATATTCTAAATAAGGTAATATTGTGAGAGTCAAATTCGAGCCTGGTGAGAGGGTTACATTTTTGGGGGCTCGTCCGGGATCTTGGTTATTGTTGATGGGATATTTTTGACTCCCCATTTGACAATTTTGAATTGAAATTTTGGATTTTCTTCTGACATTGCTGTATAGGCATAAACCTACAACATGCATGTTGAAGAGATTGTTACCTGGTGTAGAGAGAAACAGCAAGCTACTAATCGTGCAGTTGTCCTTAGCAGTGTTACAGATGATGTGTCTGATGAGGTTCTGCTGGAAACACTGACTTATGTTAAGGCTTTTGGTAAAATTAGACTGCGTGGTCGTTGTTCTTATTCAGCTGGTAAAAAGCAGTATGTTTTGGTAGAGATATGAAACAACTTTAACGAAATAGCTGTGCCAAGTGTTGTTGGGATACCTGGAGAGTTGGGTCCCTGGCCTGTACATGTAGTTTCACAAGTCACATCTCCAGTTGAGAGAGAGGGTGAAGATTTCCAGGCAAAGCTATTATCCTTTCTGAGATATGAAGGGAAGACGGTGGCTGATGTTAAAGGCCTGGTAAGTCCCTCTGGTGCTGACCTCAACGCTGAACTGGTTACTGCCATAAGTTCACTGGTAGAAAAATGCAACAATGTGCCATCTGAGACTCAGAGTTACCGTAAGCTACGTATGTTCTCAGGTGTGAAGCCCACTCCTAGTGGAGAGGAAGAGTATGACGCATGGGCTGAGCAAACCACCCATTTTCTAGAGGAATGGCAGTGCACCGACAATGTGAAAAAACAGAGAATAATAGAAAGTCTTAAAGGGCCTGCTGCTGACATTGTGAGGTTCTTTAGGACCGGAAACCCCCATGCTACAGTGATCAAATACATGAAGGCTCTAGAAACCGCATTCGGTACCACCGAAAGTGCACCTGATCTCATGGTAAGGTTCAGAAACACATTTCAGAGTGAAGGAGAGAAGCTTTCAGCTTACCTGTTGAGACTTGACAAATTGCTGCACACTGTATATCGAAAAGGAGGCATTGAGCTGTCAGAGATGAATCGCACATGCATTGGCCAAGTAGTGAGAGGTGCATCCTCACATGACATGGTTGCGCTTTGTATTCGCATGACCTATAAGCTGCGTGATCCACCAACCTTTACTGAGCTGCTGCAGGAAGTAAGGGAGGAGGAGGACATGATTCAAGACAGGAACACAACGAAGAGTGTTGTGAAGTCATCAGCTGTTGCTCCTGTTGCTACAGTTTGTGAAGAAGCTAATACTGAGATAGAAGTGCTGAGAAAAGAGCTAAAAGGTTTGAAAATTGAAATAACACGTCTCATGTCTGCTAACGTCACAGCAGCTCACTCTGACACACAAAGGTCAGATGTTGCATTTAAAAGCAAAAAGAAAAGGGTAAATCCATCACAAGAACAGACACAGGCCGACAGAAACCCCGGAGTGTTCTGTTATAGATGTGGAGAAGATGGCCATTTCAAGAGAAACTGTGAAGGTGAAGAGAACTTG